TACAAGATAACACAGGGCGGCAAATCGAACATAGCCGGGGCACCGGCGGACACGCCTGATTCAATTTAGTGAACAACTTTAATACCCCAAGCTTGTCCGCAAACATAGAGGACATTTAGTAGCGGCTTCTTAACTGTTATTGATTAAAAATAATTAGTAAACAGTGCAGTGCGTTCTGTGTATAAAATAAATTAAAGTCAGTATTTACAATATCCGTGTTTTACATACCAAATTACACTTGATCAATCAACGCAAATTATTTACATTTTTTAACATCAAGACAAAATAATAAAAAGTATCCCCCCACCCCCGATATAATATTTTTTCATAAAGATAAGTAAAAAACTTTTGTGATCAATGAAGGCAAGTAATTAAAAATAACACTTAATTTTTTTTTTTGAAAGATGATTCAAATTCTTTGACTTTATTTTTTCCACATGACTTTATTTAAAATTATACGTTTAGGAAATGAAACTTGTTTTACAAAACCTCATATTATAATAATTTTTCTAATCATTATTTTAGATAATAAACACTTTAGGCACCGTGCTCTGTCCGCTTTTCGCCTCATACAGAGCCACATAAACCATTTGAGCTATATGTATATATATATATATATATATATATATATATATATATATATATATATATATATATATATATATATATATATATATATATATATATATAAAACACAAACGCAACACACACACACAAACACAAAAGAAAAAACAAACGTAAATAAAAACACAAATAAAAGCACAAACACAATGCAAACACACAAGCAAACTCACTGTTGTTGGTTAAAGTTAGAGTTGGATTTATGGGTTATGTCTGTATTTGACAAACATCCATGCCGGGTATAGAGTCCTTGATATGACGTTACGGATCCACATTCAAAATGACAATCTGTGCTGTAAAAAGCTGTGATACAAGAAGTTGCAGATCTAAAGGAATTCGTTTACTTCGACAGCCAAGAGTTATATGAAACCAAGATGATAGAGATCGACAATTAACAGAACGTAGACGCTGTCAACTGTTAGCCAATATATATCAAAGTGGCGTGAGTGAAGCAGCGGCAAATCAAATGCGGATATGTACTCGACACTTTGTTTTTGTTAGGGACAGTAAACAATAAACTTCATTTTAATTAACACAAGACTTCTATTAATAAAACAAATACGCTTGACATTCACCTACGTCAAAAAATATAATAACATTTAATTGGAATATTTATTTAATATTAAGATATAAAATCTAGCTCAAAATCTAATCATGTTGTCCACGAAACTGGCTACGCTAGGTAGACACAGAATCTAAAATCTACTTATTTAATTAAATTAAACTACAAGATAAATTAAATTTAATTGAAAACACTTAGATCTATATTCGATTCAAAATAATTCAATAATTAATAAAAACAAATAGACATAATAATAAAAAAAAATTTAATTGTCTCAAATATCTAGAATCTAGCTGTAGATTCTAATTATTTTAGTTAGCAAACAAAATTATCTGAAATTGAAATAGATTGTGTGACGAGACTTAAACCTAGAATCCGCTCCTTGAATTTAATTTTAAAAGTTGTTACTATTTTTGTTTTAAAAGGCTTTAATAAATTAATTAGTCCTACCTAATATGTGCCTAATAATATGTATCTGATACTGGATTGAGGTTAGTTAAATTTAGAAGCAGATTAGTCATACTGATTTCACCATTGTTTCCGTGCTGCGCCTTTAGGGTAATAAATTACATTAGAGATGCTATCTCTTGTCGGCTGAGATCTAAGAGCAGCAATCTATGTTACCTACAAAGAGATGGAGTTTTATGGTGAGGGCTTGGTATTATGTAGGTAAAAAAATTTGAGGGGGTAGCAATGGTATGTGTCTGATAACTTCCCTGCTTAACCAAGATGGACATAAATTACATAACATGCTACACAAATGGGTTGAGATCTAAGAACATCAGTTGTTGTTACTTCAGAAGTAGATTAGCAGTTTTATTGAGGTTTTTGTAGGGGCTAAGTGGTCTAACGTTAGATACTGTAGTGTATATATATATATATATATATATATATATATATATATATATATATATATATATATATATATATATATATATATATATATATATATATATATACTATATTTTCATGCATTAGTGTGGGTAGACGACCAATTAGAACTTGAGATCGAGCATATAATAAAAAACCACTAATACCGCTAACAAGTTGCATCAGTCATAACTGATGTTTATAACACTTCAAATAATTTTTTTCCTACATGTTAAAGAAAAAAATCCTATTGATTTGTGTCACTATAGCGATGACGCAATCTGCATTATTGTTTCAGGATGCTAATTGGCGGTATGGGTTATCCTGTGAGCACTATTGCACATATGTTAGTATTGAGAAGCCATGTGCCGTACGCGGTGAGCCTGCGGTAGTGTAATAGGGGGCTTTTTGATAACTCTGATATTACTAATGATACGTTGTACATGTTTTTAGTATGCACCAATCCCTATTTCGACCAAGGATGTGCCTCTAAGTTCCAGCGTAAGTGCCAACCCGAGGCCTGTAACAATGTCGAGAGCTCATGCGTCGAGTGCTTCTCATCACGAGCGTTTTGCTACAAAGGTAACGTATAGGATCCACACATTTTGATCCGTGGGTTCAATTGTAAAACCAGAAATAGCAATCTCTTCATCTATCTATAAAGCAATGTATGTGTATCTCTGTGTGTGTGTGTGTGTGTCTTTTATACATTACTACACCTTATTTTTATGAAACTTTCGGAAGTTTTTTAGAATATTCCTGGGGAGGTGTTTGCGAGAATTAAATTCAAAAAGTCGCAGGGGTGACCCCGGCAGTGCGATATTCAATTATTCTATAAACATGGTATATAAAATTAAAGTCGTTTGCGGTTTGACACCAATCATCCAACCGCCTTGAAACTTTGGGGAGTAGATGAAAACACTAAAGGTGAGGATTGCTTTAAAAAAAAACGTTTTTAATTTCGCAAGGGTGCGATTTTTCTCTATATACAGTATTAAAAATACAAATAGGATGCGGTTTGACACCGTTCATCCGAATGCCATGAAACTTTGGATACTTGATGAGAATACTCTCGAGACGTTTTCTGTGAAAGAGGAAGGGTCTTTTGTCAATACACGGTTTGGCGCCCAGAGTTCTTAATCGGCTATCTTAGCACTTGATGTCCGTTATCATAGCGTGTAGGAAGACTACTATATTCAGCGTTAAAACTTCAAACCTATTGTGAGAAATGAGGACCTACGTTCGTTTAAAAAAGGGCTATACACTAAGGACATTGTGTCTTTATCAATAACAATAATCGTTGACTTTATCGAATCAGGCGCGTCCTCGCAGGGGGGTGATATGGTGCCACAAGATTACCCGAGAGCACTATGGCGCGTACGTTCTTTTTCAAAAGCACGATCGGATATGGATACGTTAGGGCTTTATAGTCGTTTAATAAATTTAACCAGTCGAGTTTGCACTTGCCCCTGCAGGGCGCAATTTGATGCCCAATGGTATCCCGTGAGCGATATTTCAATAAGCTATTAGGCTCTCTGGGTTATCTTGTGAGCATCAGGGCGCTATAGTAAATTTAAACAGCCAGTGACCGTACGCGGAGCCCCTGAGGTAGTGTAACCTGGGCGATCACCACAGTGTGTTCTACCTCACCATGATTTCATGCGGTAGGTAAACAAGTGCCCCGATATATATATATATATATATATATATATATATATATATATATATATATATATATATATATATATATATATATATATATATATATATATATATATATATATAATATAGGCGCAGGCATTGTTAACATTTAAATTTAAACTCAGTATTAGAAACAAAAAGCTCACACGTCTAATAATACATGATTGGTAACGCATTGATAGAACGCTTCTTACATATATCATCAGATTTTCTTCTATCCCGAAGAGCACGCTAGTACTAGTAAATAGAAGGTAAACATTAAATAAAATACTTAAATTTTTTTTTTAAAAAACCACGTTTTTCTTGTGGACTAAAAAGTAGAAAATAAATTTTTCTTTTGTGCTTCCTCGAGCTGTGCAGATTCTTGTGATGACTGACAAAAAACGTAGGTACGTTCACCATCAAATTTCCCGACCCATCTGCCCGACCCACGTTTTTTGTCAGTCATCACAAGAATCTGCACAGCTCGAGGAAGCACAAAAGAAAAATTTATTTTCTACTTTTTAGTCCACAAGAAAAACGTGGTTTTTTTAAAAGTTTTTTTAAGTATTTTATTTTCTCCTTTTTAGTCCGTTGCTACACATGAAAAACGTGGTTTTTAAAAAAGTTTTTTATATAGTTTATTTTCTACTTTATCTAATGACTTGATTAAGTATGACTTGACTAAGTGTTTATAAATACACGGACTAAAAATCTTGGGGCCGAAGTAACTGTGTCAATAGGCCTCCAGTCTTGTCGGTATCTTTAGAAATCATGTCCTCAATTTTATGGTCCTTGAGGCGTAATTAAATTAAGCTAATTACGGTCTCTAATTGCTAGTTTTTATGATTGCATCTGAAATTGTTAGGCGAAAGTAGCCTGCATGCCAAATTTCACATCTATAGAGCAATCAGAAGTGGGCTAATTTTCGATGTCAATTTTAACAACAAACATCCAAACAAACAAACAAACGCGAAGCTGAGTTAAGAAAAACGTGTTAAAAACAGACAGTACTATTGGTATGGAAAATATCTATATATATAATTCTCTTCACGGAGACTATAATCACCACGCAGCTTAGCCACCACCCTCATCCCAACCTGTCAGGTGAGCTGTGGTTCACCCCGAATGTTTAGAATCGTATAGTCGGGTTAGGGACAGATAATTTGGAATTAACCGATTTGAAACGTAGCGGAGGTAACAATTTCTGATTGATCTTTTAGACATACTTTTAGACTGTCTCAAGATTGTTGAAACCTATTTATAGACTGCGAACATGGAACCTACGGCCAGGATTGTGACTTGAAATGCAGCGTCAAATGTGAGAATCAGACCTGTCACAGCATCACAGGCAGGTGTTTGAGTTGTCCCCCTGGATGGCGGGGAGACTACTGTGAGCAGGGTAAAACTTTTTTTTTTTGATGAATCTATTTCTAAAGTTTGAGGATATTTGAAACACAAGTTAAGAATTTTTTAAAACAATGTAGCTCTGATATTAGCCGTCGCGTATATATATATATATATATATATATATATATATATATATATATATATATATATATATATATATATATATATATTTATTTATTTATTTATATATATATATATATATTATATATGTGTGTGTGTGTTTTCTTCACGTAAAGCATTTGGTATGTAAATTGCCTTGAGTATGTATAAACATACTTAAGAACTGTTTCGAAATTTGATAAACATATTTTTTTGACTTTCTCAAAATGTGTTTAAACATACTCAATCTCAAGATTGTTGAAACCAATTTATAGAATGCGAAAAAGGAACCTACGGCCAGGAATGTGCCTTCAGTTGCAGCGTCAAATGTGAGAATCAGACCTGTGACAGCATCACAGGCCGGTGTTTATGTTGTCCGCCTGGATGGCGGGGAGACTGCTGTGAGCAGGGTAAATTATTTTTTGTGTATTATATACAAGTGAACATTTTATTCTCTAACTTAACTGATATCATGGTTTTGATACGTATGCCGTCATTAGGTTTCGTTTCAGTATTACCAGTATTATTATTAGTATGTTTTAATATAGCGGTTTGATACCAAAATATAATTACACTCATCAAGGTAAAAATATAGCATATTAACTGTCTCGAGACTAGCTAAAACATTTTTCTGACTCTATCAAAATATATTTAATCATTTTTAGACGGTCTTAAAATTACATAAATTGCCTTGAGTATGTATAAACAGACTTAAGAACTGTTTCGAAATTTGATTAACATATTTTTTTGACTTTCTCAAAATGTGTTTAAACATACTCAATCTCAAGATTGTTGAAACCTATTTATAGACTGCGAACATGGAACCTACGGCCAGGAATGTGCCTTCAACTGCAGCGTCAAATGTGAGAATCAGACCTGTGACAGCATCACAGGCCGGTGTTTGAGTTGTCCCCCTGGATGGCGGGGAGACTACTGTGAGCAGGGTAAATTATTTTTTGTGTATTTTATACAAGTGAACATTTTATTCTCTAACTTAACTGATATCATGGTTTTGATACGTATGCCGTCATTAGGTTTCGTTTCAGTATTACCAGTATTATTATTAGTATGTTTTAATATAGCGGTTTGATACCAAAATATTATTAAACTCATCAAGGTAAAAATATAGCATATTAAAGTGTTTAGACGGTCTCAAGACTATCTAAAACATTTTTCTGACTCTATCAAAATATATTTAATCATTTTTAGACGGTTTTAAGATTACATAAATTGCCTTGAGTATGTATAAACAGACTTAAGAACTGTTTCGAAATTTGATAAACATATTTTTTTGACTTTCTCAAAATGTGTTTAAACATACTCAATCTCAAGATTGTTGAAACCTATTTATAGACTGCGAACATGGAACCTACGGCAAGGAATGTGCCTTCAACTGCAGCGTCAAATGTGAGAATCAGACCTGTGACAGCATCACAGGCCGGTGTTTGAGATGTCCCCCTGGATGGCGGGGAGACTACTGTGAGCAGGGTAAATTATTTTTTGTGTATTTTATACAAGTGATGCATTTGTTATGTAGGCACTCTCAAGCCACATACAATTACATCATAGCGTATAGATAGCCTTAAGCTACATCCGTATACAAGTAATAACATGATACAAACAGAATCACAGAAACTGTTTTCCTTTTAGCATATGCTCGGAGTCTTTATACGGATTTTACTATAGAGTTTTAAATAAAAAAAAAATTGTCTTTGTTTTTCATTTTAGCTAATTTTAAAATGTAGTCGTTTTGATCGATCTGAAACTCTCGCGCCTATCATTTAGCCGATTTAGCTGTTTGAATGTTTAGGTTTTGCCTCTGGTGCTTCAAGTGTGTCTCATCTAGTGATAGATGTTAACTATTTTTAAAATGGAAATTTCTTTTCCATCCCTCAAATTTAAAAAAAAAAGATTATTGGTTTTGGTTTAATTTTAATTTACTTGTTAACTTTAGTTTTTATTCTTCCTTTGTTTAGTTACTCATGCTCAAGATAAGCCTATCTATAGAGATCTCAGTGACACATATTTAGGGCAAAATAAAGAATGAGCTAAAGAGGATTTTTTTTAGATCTTACACCAGAAGAAAATCTGTAAAGATTTAAGTATTTAAATTAATTTATTGCAACTTAGTATTTAAATTAATTTATTGCAACTAAAGCATTTACACAGTAGGCCCTATATAGGCTACAGTTTCTATTTTAATAGAATTCATACTTTGAGTGTGGTTAAATAAAGTAGTTTTTATATATAAGTTGGCAATTTAAATTTTATTTGTGAGCATATCCTATACAAAAGTTATATATATATATATATATATATATATATATATATATATATATATATATATATATATATATATATATATATATATATATATACATATATATAGCCGATTCATTTATCCATTTTATGAAAAAAATGAGCCAGATATAGAGAGCCAAAGTTCCATAACATTGTTTTAAAAACAGTCATCGTTTTTCAAAAAATTATTAATGTTTATATAGGGAAAATTTAACCCTTTTAGAACCACTTTAACCCTTTAACTAGAACCAATTTAACCCTTAAACTTCCACAGAGTGTATCGACACAATTTTCGGGCCCAACTGCAAACAACAATGCGACCCTGATTGTGTGCCCGAGTCTACTGAGATCAAACGCCTGTGTGACGCCATCTGCGGAGATAGTGTTTTAAGAAGCAAGATTCTAGCTGACCCAAATGCCGAGGGTGAGTGTGTGGTCGAGACACGCTTGCCAAGAGAAAGTTTGAACATCCAGAACAAGGAATCGATTTGTTTTCTAACATAGTTTTTGACAAATTTAATTATTAATTTATACATATTCCAATAAATGAAATTGGTTGTTGTTTTAACGGGTCTGCATTTTACAGGAGTAGATACAATACCTTGTACGTAGTGTTTCTTTCAATCGAACTTTTTTCATCGGGGGCGGCGTACTTGAAATTTTCGGAAGGGGGTGGGGCGGACTAAATGTTCCGGGGTCAAAGCATATATTTTCTATATGAATTTCATTTCAATTTGGGGGTGGGGGGGCAGTAGACTTTCTTCAGTCTCCCCAGTAATAGATGCCTGAAAGAAACTCTGCTTACATAACTAACATCACTATATTGGACCCGATTGTATTTTTATATGAGTATGTTATGTTCACTCGTGTATTTGTTACTTAATGTTTTATTCATGTATTGTGTTTCTATATTCATTTGTATATACATTCCTGTATGGTTCAAGAATGTATATACACCATGTTTAATACATGACACAATGTAAATAATTTACAGAAAACAAGGATGATACATATATACTGTATTTACTGATTGTGCTGCCCGCATTACTTATTGCAATCCTGGTCATCTTTATATTCATACGCAGGTTCGTAGCGCTCTGTACAGTACTGATTTAACGTGTCAATTACTTGTTCTATTTCAATACATTTGCTATTGTGAACAGACTAAATAAGAGAAAATATTCGAGAGGTCTCGAGTTTGATACCCGGACAGACGAGTCTTAATAGCTGGTGGGGGGGGGGGGGGGGTCATACATAAATGACGTCAGACTTTTTTGACGATTTTTACCTCCCCCCTTCCCTCCGCCACACGTCGTCATATAATGCCAGACCCCCCTAAAATGACGTCACACATTTTTTTTAAACATCGATTTTTTTCTAAAATCTCGTCTGAACTCTGTCAAAAAAGAGTATTTTAATCAATTGCTATTACAATAAATTAAAACAGTTTTTTAAAACTCGAAATAACGTCTAAAATTCGTTTTCTAACATTGCTTTTTTTTATAAAGCAAAAGTGTGACGTCACACCATCTGACCCCCCCCCCTCCCCCTCATCACAAGCCGTCACAAAATTACGGACCCCCCCCCCCCCTCCCCCATACGAGTGTGACGTCATTTATGGACTACCCCTGGGGACTGCTACTCATCTGGGAGAGGCACCTACAAAATCAAACAACTGCTGCCTTAAAGTTTGTTCTTGGTTGGACAAAAGCTATGGAATCAACCAAAAAGAAAACCACAAAAAAAAAAAAAAATCCAGGGTCATCGGCCTAAATAGCGCAGGACAAGTTGACACAAAATATTTAATAGAATTAAGAACGAAGCAAAAGAAAAAAAAATATATATATATAGATTTCCTTATAAATATATTCTTAAAGACATTTCCTCCATTTGTCTAGAAAAATGAAAACAGTTAAGACTGAGGCTGTCCCAGGTAAATTCTATTCTGTTTCATTTTATTCTGTCTCTTGATTCTACCAATCTCATTCTTATTGTATTGTATACCTGGCTGCTTTTTATTGTTTTAAAGCATACATCCCCTCCCCACACACATAAACACACAAACATAACCACAAACACACACACACACAAACACACACACACATACACTCACACGCACGAGCAACGGCTCACCTATAAGCATACATAAGCATTTGTTTAAGCACATATATAGGCATATACATATGTATATATATATATATATATATATATATATATATATATATATATATATATATATATATATATATATATATATCTATAATATAAGCGGGCTGAGCGTGTGTCAGTCCTTCCTTCCTTCCTTCCTTCTGTCATCGCTATAGCTTTTGGAACCATAAAAGTAAACATTCGCACGATGCTGTGCTTTTCAGTGCACCGCAGTGTCTTATTATAAGTAGTAGAGTAGGGTTTGTTTATATAGCGGCATAGAGCTATTTTATAATTTCCACTGTGTTTACTCTTTTGCATAACTTAAAGAAAATATTAAATACATGCACATTGCTAAAACATATTAAAAGGATCAATGTCAAATATCATTTTCGTTTATATTCCTAGAAAAAGTGGATACATTTTAATAACACAATAACAGTACGGTAAAAAATCAAATTAATTTAACTCTTTTCTAATTTGGACAAAGGAGGTAATTTAAAAATACATTAAACTCACGCTAATAAAAAATGTGAATGCAAATATACGTTCGTCATAGAAGGAATTAGTGTTGCAATAATATAATTAGCAAAATGTGAATGCAAATTATTCGGATTTATAAGAGGAAATTATTGTTAGAAAATTATAATTAGCATGGATTGATAAAAGGCAATCACGTTCATTAGGTTCGCAATGGTTTTAGTTATGAAACTCTATTGTAAATTTTTAAAATTATTAGTACTGGAAAAATTTTCGTAAAAGGATAAAGTGAAATATTGTAGGTAAAACACGGATATTTTAAATACTGCCTATTATTTATGCTGATTTCTAATTATTATTCTATCTTTCGGGTTTTATAGGAGAGGCGTAGCGAGGGGGCATATGTCCCCGAGTGCCGACCTTAGGGGGCGCCAAAGTGGGTTGGAAAAAATTAGCGAGGGGGGGGGGGGGGTGGTGGAAATCGAAAGTTTTAGGGCGGGGGGGGGGGGGAGGGGTGCAAATCGAAAGTTTGAGGGGGGGGGTGCAAATCACCGGAAAGGGCGCAATTTGGCGCTACGGGCTAGACTGTGAGCAATATGCCTGTATGATTGCATTTAAATTGTGTCTATGTTATGAGTGTTGTGTTTGTTTTTTCGTTTGTTTTTTTTGCGTTCGTTTGTGTTGTGTTTAGTTTTGTTCTGTTCCCAAGTTGGTACATTTAAAAAAGATTTACCGTGGCGGAGCACGGGATGCAGCTAGTATATATATATATATATATATATGTGTGTGTGTGTGTGTATGTGTGCGTGTGCATGTGTTCTATTTGGGTTTTGTCTTTATTTCTAGAAAACTACCTTTGGATAAACTTCCGTCACCTATATATGCATTAATGTCGTGTATTAGTATTGTATGTTTTGTTTATTTCCGAACGAAACCACCAAAACAGATACGTCAGTACCCATCGCGAATCTAAAGGTCTACATACTGGGACACAACAAGGAATTCTTTCTCAACCAGTTCAAGGTAGTCACTAAAAAGTTTGAATAATTTTTTTCATTTTTCGTTCCTTTGAAATTTTATCGTGTGTTGACTTCAAGTATATTTTTAAAATTCTTAAAGACAGCTAATTTTTCTGTATTGATTTATATTATAACAGTATTTATATCCCACAGTCTATACCAACTGTGTATGATGGTGAAAAAGTTGAGAAAAAGTACACGGCTGGTACCTGTAAGTCGTTGGTTTCTTATTACATCGTCACTGTATTATGAATGAAATGTGTGTGAGAAAATAAGTTTATGTGTGTTAGTGGGTAAAGCATGAAGTTATCATGTGAATGTTGGAGGCCGTAACTTAAGTCTAAGTGGGATATTAACCCTTGATTTACTGAATTAGTGTCTGAATTAATTTTTTTTCTTAAAATAATAGATAATTATAACAAAATATTGTATACGCGTAACGAGTAAATCAGGGAATATATAAGTATTATAGTGCGTAACATAAGTATAGAAGGGTTTGACAAAAGTGACAAATAGTTCTAGAATAACGTGACGGAATGTTTGCCATCAGACCAATGTTCACTGTCCTATTAATTTAATTTTTTTATTTTTCTTAATTTCAAATTATTATTTTAAAATACGTTTAAAACATCAACAATCAAGAACTAACATCCCCATTACACATACATGTGTTCATATCTATTTGAACACCTTTTACACCCTAACTGACCATTGGTCTATATCCCCAGATGACCATGCATGCATCAACGTCACACCGTGGCCCGAGAAAAAGCCTGTCAATTTGCTCAGCCTCTCATTTCTGGCGGTGAGGCGCGGATGTTTAATATGTATTGTTTTGTTTTTACTTTAGTTAAATCTTCCGTCTCTGGTGGGGTTCTTGTTGAATCGAGTAACTCAATCTTTCCAGAAATTTTTATTTCCAATGACAATGCAAGAGTATATAATTTCAAATCTAATTAGATATTACATCATTAATTATTTTAAATATATTTTAAATTTTTCTAGAGTCGGTAGCGAAGTTAGCTGTAACCACTTGGGAGAGGTGTGGGGGGGGGGGGGGGGGGAGACTGGTGTGTTGTAATCGTGAGTTTACACACCTGAGACTTAGTGACCGACGTTAATGAGACAGTTATGTCGTCTAGAGTTAAGAGCGCTCGCTAATTATCTGATCTTAAACTAAAACCTCTAATAAATACATGATATGTAAAAATAAATAAAGGTATTCATTTAAACAGTTTCAAGTTACATTTATCTTTGCAATTTAATTTCTAATTGTTAAAAAGTAAAAAAAAAATGAGGTAAATACTTTTGTGAAATAAGGCTTTTAAAGTACTAAAAAGAGATTAAACGAAAATGTACTTGTTTAGATAATTTTTCAGCAAAACATGTTTTGACTACACAAAATGAAAGTGATTTATTTTTTAGTATTTTTACTTGCTGTCATATAATTTTAAAATCAGTACGATTATTATCCATATTTTTGTATGGAATGACTTTTTTTTCTTTATTTAAAAATGGCGCAGCTAAAATTTGTAAAGTAAATTTTATTGTGCATGTTCTTTAAATATCTCAAGATGTTTATAACTTGGTTTTCAATAATTGTTACAACAAGACGCTAATTCATACCGGCAACACAATGTAAAATCTATAACTTAACTCTCTCTTCCTATATATGAAAAATGCTGTTTTTATCTTATTCACTTCGGCTAATACATATTTTGCACATTCATATTATAATACGTTTATACATCAATAATACTCAATTTGTTACTTTGCACATATTAATAAACTAGATTTTGGGTTGAAACACGAATATTAAAAAAAACTGAATATTTCTTGTTTTGACTAACCATGTTGAATTATTCTATTTCTTTAAGTTGGCTAAAGAAGAAATAATAGTATCACAAGGTAATTTGTTAACGTTTTCATATATTCTCTAGTAAAATGTGTTAATGTTGAGTCTAGCTTGGATTACTAACTTTGTATACGTATACACATTTTTATCATTGAAAGAAGTTGAGCCTAAGGCAATGAAAGTAATTTAACTTGCTTTTGAAGGTCTTCGTGAAATAAAAACTATTTAACTTGTTTTCAATTTATGCTTGAGTAAGTAAAATTTATTACAATAACAACGTAACAGTATCTAATTGCCAATCTAATTAGACATTACATAGTTAAAAATTACTTTAAATATTACTATAGTCAGTAGCAAAATTTGTTATTACGAATATTTGCTTAGGTAAATAACATTCATTCATTTTTTTCACATCTTCTCGTAGGTCCGGTAGCTGCGACTGTGGTCGGCTTTCTCAATCTGCTATGGGACAAACAAGTTGTAAAAGTCGTCATGATTAGCACAGAGAAAATCGATGTAAGTTGCAAAAACACACAAACATCAGAGTACTGCTCCATTATCCAATTAAATAGATAATAATTCTGATTTTTCCCAATGTAAAATGTGTTTTGAAACATGTAAGATTGGTATGGAAAATGACAGCGGTTTTGTTTATATTTTTTGTTCGATAACTTGAATATTTCTAAGGTGAAAATACTTTATCAAAAAATCATTTTTTTAGAATGAATACAACTATTGGTCAATGAAAGATCAAAACATTGATTGCTATAGAGTGAAGACGGTGAAAACAGAAGTTTTTCTAGATTATACTATTTGGACTTTGGAAATCACAAAAGTAAATTGTATTTTATTTCAAAAGTTTATTCTTTTTTAAAACGGTATAAAATTTTAACTATTATTTCAAAGGTCGAGAGTGTAGTCCCGCTCTAAAATAGAACTAAAATAGTAGAAATAACAAATATTACGTCTGTGCGCATTGACAAAGTAAGAAATAGATAGATATTTTGCTAAGCCTTTAAAGAAAAAAATTACGATATTTATTTTTGTTTGAACTTTAAAATTGTATTACATGTAAAATTGCATGCTGTTATGTATCTGACAGTCACTAGTTCGGATAAAGTAGAGCTTACCCATTTCCATGACCAAGGTAGGCGTATATGAAGATAGCGTGGTCAGTGACATGAGCAGCTGAATTTGCTCTCCCTGATGTAAGTGACGCACCTATCAAAGCTTAGTGGGCTATGGGGCGTGACACCGATTCGAACCCGGGATCCGAACTTGAGACGACCGACCACGTTGTCTCATATAAATTTACATGGTGATAACAAGCATACACGAGATAAACGTAAACTAATAACAGCAACATAATTAAAAGTACTACAACAAAGTCATACAAAAACAAAGCAATTATAATTACACACCATATCGAAATTAAGGAAAGGATATTACAAAAACTCACATTAGCATAGGATGTGTTAGGTTTAATCGAATTTTCTGCCATCTATAAATATAATGCTTGTTTCTTTCTTCCCCAATAATAAGGACGACAACCCACCACGTCGTGTGACCCACTTCCAGTACACGGCCTGGCCGGAAGACGGGTCTGACCCGTGTATGTGGAGTTTGGTTGACTTTGAACACAAGGTCTTCATAAACACACTAGAAACTATCACACTGGTGCATTCTGGGTAAGCTTTGAAAGACATAAAAACGACATATTTTACAACATGTATTAACTGTGACTGTATATATATATATATATATATATATATATATATATATATATATATATATATATATATATATATATATATATTTATGTATATACATTCATATATATATATATATATATATATATATATATATATATATATTTATATATATATATATATATATATATATATATATATATATATATATATATATATATATATATACACTTTAAATAATACATTTTTACTTTCTCGTATACACGATGTATAGAGAAAGTCTTGTAATCGTGCAAAAAAAATCGAGATTTTTACAAATCTCGACGGTTTACACCTCAATGATACGGAAAAACATAATTTTGTAATCTTGTCCGCATGTCTGTGTGTCTGTCTGTCTGTCAGTGTGTCCGTGTGTAAACACGATAACTTGAGTACCGTTACAGCTAGTATGATGAAATTTCAAATATAAGTATTTTATCAAAATTGTAGATTCGTATTAACTTTTGAGCGATTTCTTATAAACGGAAGTGGTACTTTTCCTACTTTGAATTTTTCAAAAGCCTATAACTTGAGTACTATTTCAGATAGATAAATGAAATTTCACATGTAAGTAAAAGATCTAATTCTCTACCTTCTGTAAAATTTTGAGTAATTTCCTTTGAGTGGAAGTAGTAATTAACGCTACTTCCGATTTCTCAAAAAACTAATGTAAATTTTAAAAGTACTAATAATATTGCGCACTATTATGCGCTTTTTTATTTGGCGTTTACTTGGTGTGCATTTAATTTGTCTACGAGATTTTATTCTATTTTTAAAACTTTAAGTATTTAAAATGGATTAAAAATCATGACTATAGCCCGAGTTCCCATCCCCTGTTATTTTATACGAGCCGACCCGCTGTGTATCATACGCGCTATTTAGTTTATTTTTTCTACTTTTCAGTAATTTATAATTTGAGAATTCGACAGTACCAATGCTGCCACTGAAAATATTTGCTTAAAAACACTAAACCCCCATTTCCCCCCCCCCACGTGAAAGCAGCCTCCTCTTAGTTACCTCCTCTAAGTTTAAAATCGTTTCAAACTAAATTATCTGCCCCTAATAGCCGTCACCAAACCCGTCTCTATGATTGTAAAATGTAAACAGCGTGAACCACAGCTCACCCGACCATGTAAGGGGGTGGGGGTGGTAGCGATAGAGAGGAAGAGAGGGGACTGTAAGGCGCGCTTGCAGCCTGTTTTCTAACGGCTCCCAGAAGAGAATTATATATATATAGATAACAATAGTCGAGAAAGTTTAGGGGAGATCACTCCCGGTTTATTTTGTTAGTAAAGTAGTTAATATGGTGGTTATATTTGATATACATTTTCTCGATTTAGTATTTATAGTACACATACATTCTATAAACTATTTTAGATATATAGCATTTAATACAGAGATAACAGAAGCGAGTCTGTACTTTATCAACTACTTCTGCCATTGTATATAGGCAACACATTAGACACATTATTCCCCGTGTGTACCTAACAGGACGGATACAACGAGAAGCTCCGTGTTTATAGCACTACACGATTTGATCCGTCAAGCCAAGCTGAACCAAGCCGTGGACTTTGTCGACACGGTCTCCAGACTCAGACAAGACATGCCCAAAACGGTTCAAAGCTTTGTAAGTTCGACGCTCTACAACTCTGTTTTAAAAATATTCTAGTTTTAACTTTAGACTAGACTACCCGTCATCCGTTGGATAACTGTGGGTTTCGGGGGTCATCCATCAAAAAACATCACGTCTGTCACTCAGAGGCATGGCGACCCTTCCCGGCACCCGGGGACAAACTTTTCAATTTGAACCCCCCCCCCCCCCCGCAAGATTTCGATTTGCAACCCCCCCCCCCCCAACTTTTGATGTGCACACCCCCCCTCAAGATTTTGATTTGAACCCCCCCCCCACCCAAACTTTCGATTTGCACCCCCCTCAATCTTTCAATTTATTTTTCCAACCCATTTTGGCGCCCCCTAAGGTCGGCGCCCGGGGACATATGTCCCCCCCACCCCCACCCCCCTCCTCGCTACGCTACTGCAGTGTCACTTATCGTCACACAAAACAGACCCCACATTCAAAAATATGTTTTTTATCTTTAAAACACCGAAAACACCGATTTCGGACTATCCCTTCCTATACTGACGTCACAGGTGACCTACTCAACCTGCCCAGTGTCCCGCCAAGTCTCAGACAACATGTTTTTATCGTTTAAAAAACGATTCCAGCCGAGCATGTCTCTGACCACACTTTCCTTTTATATGCTTAGGACAAAGAAACAGATGGAACTCCACTTCACCTGCCCTGTATCCTGTCAAGTTCAGATAGGCAACTTTATCATTCACATAAAAAAAAAATGAAAAAAAAAATATCATTGACATATTGGTCTAGAACCTGTGCCACCCGCATGAGTGTCGACTACACTAGCAACTTAGCTATTTACTCGTGCCATCACAAGTGAATTTTTATACTATATTTTAAGTCTCCTTTTGCAACTTGATTTACGCTCATAGCTCTAGATCTAAGTCTAGTAGTAGTAAGTTTCAAATTAAATTTTATCTTAAATTAGCCAAACAAAGATTTATATAAAATAAAGAAGGTCTCGTTTGCTTAAGTCTTAAGTTTAGTTTTTCTTGCTAGATCTAGAATCTAGATCTAGCTAAAATAGTTTAGTATACAGAAAATCATTATTATCTAAATCTAGATAGAAAATTATCTATATTTTAGATCTACGACTGAGCTATATTTAGAATTTACGTTTATAATTTAGCAAAATTACCGGTATTGAAGCCGCGTATGAATCTTAAGCTACGCAAATAGGCCCTGGAATCAGCATTTCAAAATTTGCATAGTCGAAACAAAGATTTATACAAAATAATAAAGGTCTAAAATAGTTTAGGATATAGAAACTCATTATTATCTAAATCTATATAGAATTATCTATATTCTAGATCTACGACTGATTTGCTTAAGTCTCGTTTTTTTTTTGGATTGTATTGTAACTAATAAATCTTTGATTTGACCTAGATTCTAAATTCTAGATCTAGATCTATAAATAACTTTCTTGGACAGATTGTAGATCTAGAGAAATTTATCGTAAAACTAAATAAAAAAGACTGTTGAAAATTGATATAAGTGTTGGAACGTAATAAATACAGCAAACGGACGTATTGTTAAAGTTATGACCGACAGAAAATTAGATTTAGAACGCGTTAAACTTTTGAATGGGAACACAATTTTCTTCGATAGACGCCGCCATTTTATTGTACTAAAGAGTAAACAAAAAACTGTGACGTCACGGTCCCGCCGAGTGTAGTGGTCGTTCTGAACCCCTTTAAAAAAATAGGGTTACTCCACCTATGAATAAATCAATAAATTAATTAACGTCTTTAAATAAATGTGTGATTAACAGTCTGACTTAAAACTTAAAAATTTCTCTACCTACATACTATTTTACAGCTCTCCACGATGAGTGCAACCAAGTGCAATAGTCAATCAGCCAAACAAAAAAACAAACAAAAAAATAAATATTCAAGCATGTAAACAAACTTGACTTTTAGTAGTATATAGATTATACAGCAGAAATGTTTCTAAGCATAATTAAAAGAAACCATTCTTTTTTACTTTCTCGTAAATACGAAGTATAGAGAATGTCTTGTAATCGTGCAAAAAAAAAAAAATCGAGATTTTTACAAATCTCGACGTTTTACACCTCACTGATATGGAAAAGAATAATTTTGCAATATTGTCCGTATGTCTTTGTGTCTGTCTGTCTGTCTGTCTGTCTGTCTGTCTGTCTGTCTGTCTGTCTGTCTGTGTGTAAACACGATAACTTGAGTACCGTTACTGCTAGGTTAATGAAATTTTATATATAAGTATTTTATCAAAATCGTAGATTCGTATCAACTTTTGAGCGATTTCTGATAACCTGAAGTGGTACTTTTTCTACTTTGAATTTTTCAAAAGCTTATAACTTGAGTACTATTTCAGATAGATAAATGAAATTTCACGTGTAAATAAAAGATCTAATTCTCTACCTTCTGTGAAATATTGAGTTATTTCCACTGACCGGAAGTACTAATTTACGCAATTTCCGATTTCTCAAAAAATGCATGAAAATTTATAAAGTACTAATAATATTGCGCACTATTATGCACATTTTGTTTGGCGTTCGCTCGGTGCGCAATTTTTTTTCTATGAGATTCTTTTCTATTTTAAAAAATTAAGTAATTAAAAATCATGTCTATATTCCAAGTTATATAAGAATACTAGCCGTCCCGGCCAGGCCCTGCTCTGGCTTCTGTGAAAAACCTTTCTGTTAAAGACCATTACCTGTGTGTTTAGTAATCATCATAAACACGACATTGCCCACCCAAACCACAACCAACCAAAACAACAAAACGCAAACATAACGCTAACACAATTACAAATACAAACAAAAACAAAAACCTAACAACAAACCCAACCACAATCACAAACACCAATACAAACACAAAGAAAAAACAAACAAAAAAGCAAACGAAAACAAAAACCTAACAACAAACCCAACCACAACCACAAACACCAATACGAACACAAAGAAAAAAACACAAACGAAAAAGCAAACGAAAACAAACCAAATCCAAACGCAAAACCAACCACAGACACAAATACAAACACAAACCCAAAGAAAAAAAAACACAAACGAAAACGAAAAAGGAAAGAACGAAAACGAACCAAATCAAAACGCAACCACTAACGCAAAACCAACCTAAACACAAAGAAAACACTAACGCGAACATAAACGCAAAGTGCTCACAGTCTAGCCGGGGCAGAATCGCCTGTTTCAGCTTAATAATCGACTATAGTACCCCAACTTATTCATAGTCTTTTGCACTCACTTAAACGAACGTAGGTGCCAAACCAAATCAAATGAATAATTATAATACTACAAGCTTATTCGTAAAATACCTACAACATTTGCACTTGATCTATCCCCGCTAATTATGTAATTATTTTTTTCCCAACACCAAAACATAGTAATAAAAAGTAAATTCTTTTCCACTAATGGAATGTTTTATAAAGGGAAGTAATTGTGTTTTCCTAATTTATCAAAGGGAAGTAAGTGCTAAAGGACTAAATATAAATAATTTTCAGACATAATTAGAATTTTTGTTATTTTTTTTAAATTGTGTTTAATGAACATGCCGACAATTATTACTATTAGTTTGAAAAATTAAAATTATTTCCCAACACTTTCAATAGTAATTTTTTAACTGATAATTTTAGACCATGAAAACGATAATAGTCTAACACTTAAATCCATAAAAGTATGTCAACGATAAACTTATTTTTACAAACAAATATACTGGATTCAGCTTTCTCACTCCCGGTTTATTTATTAACATGTTACAAGAAATGACATTTTTACTTTCTCGTATATTCGAAGTAGGCTATAGAGAAAGTCTTGTAATCGTGCAAAAAAAATCGAGATTTTTACAAATCTTGACGTTTTACATCTCACTGATACGGAAAAACATAATTTTGCAATCTTGTCCGTATGTATGTGTGTCTGTGTGTCTGTCTGTGTGTGTGTGTAAACACGATAACTTGAGTACCGCTACAGCTAGGTTGATGAAATTTCATATATAAGTATTTTATTAAAATTGTAGATCCGTATCAACTTTTGAGCGATTTCCGAAAACTGGAAGTGGTACTTTTCCTACTTTGAAATTTTCAAAAGCCTATAACTTGCGTACTATTTCAGACAGATAAACGAAATTTCACATGAAAGTAAAAGATCTAATTTTTTACCTTCTGTTAAATTTTGAGTAATTTCCGTTGACAGGAAGTAGTAATCTACGCTACTTCCGATTTCTCAAAAAACTAATGTAAATTTTTAAAGTACTAATAATATTGCGCACTATTATGCACTTTTTTATTTGGCGTTCACTTGGTGTGCAATTCTTTTGTCTACGAGATTTTATTCTATTTTTAAAACTTTAAGTATTTAAAATGGATTAAAAATCATGTCTATAGCCCGAGTTCCCATCCCCTGTTATTTTATATAAAAATTATTCGAGAAAGTTTAGGGGAGATTACTCCTTGTTTATTACACTTGCAATGTTTTCTCACTAGCTCTTTAGTATATAAAAAAAAAATAACGAACATTAAATGAAATATTTTAACAAATTGTCAAGATTTTTTCCTTCATCAAAAGATGTAAAAGTATTTCTTGCATAAAATGTTTAAAACAAAAACGTAGCAAATTTATTCTTTAAATAAAGCATCAGATTTAGATTATTGTATAGCGAATTTTTAACTTGATATTAGATTCTAACTAATTCTAAAACAATATTAAACTACACTAATATTGTAATTGATAAGAAGAAAAAAGGAATTGATATTTTGGTTTCAAAATAACTCACACATGAGATGTTTTAGAATAGAGTCATCGCGTGAGCAAAAAAGCATGTTTATATAAGAGAAAAAAGTGAGATATGAGTAGCCGGATTAAAGGATTTAAATAAAAAAGAAAAATATACAACGGATCTAGTTAATAACACAGCTCCTTTCTGAAACGCTCTACAGTTAATTTTTTTCAAGTGGAATCAAACATTACAAATGCATTAGGTTTATTTATACAACATTAAAAAAAAACAAACAAGCATTCTAATTATCACCAAACAATTTGTCATTGTTTCACAACTCTTTTTTAGTTTGGAGGAAGTGTACAACTGTTTAGTAAAATATAAAAAAAAACCAGTAAAAATTGAATTGTTATTAAGAATAATACTAGGACAATTGTTTAGATCACTGGATAATTTCTATCAGACGTTTTGTACTGTGTTATCACTGTCATCGATATTGTTGTATTCGCTGCATAGAGGAAGTGTTGGTAATATAAGAAGCCTACACACTAGAAGATATGTGACACCAAACCTAAGTGGGGCAAACTAGGAGAGAGAGAGGAAGAGAGAGAGAGAGAGAGAGAGAGAGAGAGAGAGAGAGAAGGAGAGAGAGAGATGGAGATGGAGGAAGAGAGAGATAGAATGAGAGAGAGAGAGGGACAGAGGGAGGGAGAGAGAGAGAGACTTGTTAGTTAACGAAACATGTGTTTTCCAGGAGAAGAACATGCTTCTTGACCAGGCCTCAGAGAGAAAGAGAGAGAGAGAGAGAGAGACTAGTTACTTGCATTTGTTTTCCAGGAGCAGTACATGTTCCTGCACCACGCCGCGCAGGCTGGCGTCGCCTGTACAGGCAGCTATACACACATCAGCGCCATATGTCTCAAACTACATCTCATGAGGAACCTCGTCGACGGGAAAAATAATTTTGAAAATGAATTCAATGTAAGTTTGTATTCAGTGGCTTTGCTTCTTCGTATTGTGATTGTAAATAAAAATATTTTGATGAAAACATCAATGCTCAATGAATAATATTTTTTTTCGATTGCCAACACTCGGCAGCTCTTATTATGGTATGGTTTCTAACAACTATATAATATGTTTAATAAATTATGTTTTCGGCTATCAGATACAACCAGTATAGTGTGCCGGAATATTTCAAAGGAATACTATGCATTATCTTTTGTACCAGATTAGGTTGCCGAAACATAAATAAAAAAAGCAAAGTTTGTAGTCATATCACTTAATAGACTCCATTTCCTCATCTACATTGGTTGCAGCCTCATTAGCATCGGGGTAGGTGCTTGGGTCAGCCAACCTAACCTTAATAAGAATTAGTAACACATTACCTACTGTTAAACATGTGCTTTTACAACATGATTTTTATTCAAGTAAATCACTATTAAATTGGTGTTCAATACCCATTATTTCAGAATCTGTTTAGTTTTGAGACACAACTTACTGGTGGTGTAGGGGACGTTACCCAAGATCCAAAAAGTAAAAATAGATTCTTCATTATACCAGGTAAGTGAATACCCATAGTAAAAATAGATTCCTCATTATACCAGGTAAGTGTATACCAACAGTAAAGATAGATTCAGAAATTCTATCAGGTAAGTGTGGAACATGAGTAAGATGGATTCACCAATCTAGAATCTAAGTATGTAAGAGGTGTAACACAACATTCGACATTGCACCAGGTAAGTGTGCAACGACATTAACTATAGTAAGTGTAAAAATAGATTTTATATTTTACTACTAAGTGTAAAGACAGATTCAACATTCTACTAGTTAAGTGTAAAAATAGGCTCAACATTCTATCACTCAGCGTAACGACAGATTAAACATTCTACAAAGTAAGTGTAAATATAGAAACACCATTCTACTTGGTAAGAGTAAATTTTAGAATCGATATTCTACATGGTAAATGTAAATAAAGAATCGACATTCTACCTAGTAAGTGTAAATATAGAATCGACATTCTACCTAATAAAAAAAATATAGAATCGACATTCTACTTTCTACTTGGTCAGTGTAAGTATAGAATCGACGTAAACGCAAACGCAAACACAAGCGCAAATGCAAGCGAAAACGCAAACACAACCGTAACACAAACACAAACACAAAGACAAATGCAAATGCAAATGCAAATGCAAATGCAAATGCAAATGCAAATGCAAATGCAAATGCAAATGCAAATGCAAATGCAAATGCAAATGCAAATGCAAATGCAAATGCAAATGCAAATGCAAATGCAAATGCAAATGCAAATGCAAATGCAAATGCAAATGCAAATGCAAATGCAAATGCAAATGCAAATGCAAATGCAAATGCAAATGCAAATGCAAATGCAAATGCAAATGCAAATGCAAATACAAATGCAAATGCAAAAGCACAAGCACATGCACAAGCACACGCACACGCACACGCACACGCGCGTGCAAATGCACAAGCACAAGCACATGCACATGCACTTGCACGTGCACGTGCAGATACACGTACACGTACACGTACACGTACAAGAACACGTACACGTACACGTACACGTACACGTACACGTACACGTACACGTACACGTACACGTACACGTACACGTACACGTACACGTACACGTACACGTACACGTGCACGTACACGTACACGTACACGTACACGTACACATACACGTACACGTACACGTACACAACACGTACACGTACACGTACACGTACACGTACACGTACACGTACACGTACACGTACACGTACACGTGCACGTGCACGTGCACATGCACATGCACATTCACATGCACATGCACATACACATACACATACACATACACATACACATACACATACACATACACATACACATACACATACACATACACATACACATACACATACACATACACATACACATACACATACACATACACATACACATACACATACACATACACATACACATACACATACACATACACATACACATACACATACACATACACATACACATACACATACACATACACATACACATACACATACACATACACATACACATACACATACACATACACATACACATACACATACACATACACATACACATACACATACACATACACATACACATACACATACACATACACATACACATACACATACACATACACATACACATACACATACACATACACATACACATACACATACACATACACATACACATACACATACACATACACATACACATACACATACACATACACATACACATACACATACACATACACATACACATACACATACACATACACATACACATACACATACACATACACATACACATACACATACACATACACATACACATACACATACACATACACATACACATACACATACACATACACATACACATACACATACACATACACATACACATACACATACACATACACATACACATACACATACACATACACATACACATACACATACACATACACATACACATACACATACACATACACATACACATACACATACACATACACATACACATACACATACACATACACATACACATACACATACACATACACACACATACACATACACAAACGCAAACACAAAAGGAAACGCAAATAAAACACAAGCATAAACACAAAACAAAACGTAAACGCTATGGCAAACGCATCACTTAAACACAAACACAAACGCTAATGCAAACGCAACACGCAAACGCAAACAAAAATGCAAACACAAAATAAAATATAACCGCTAACGCTTTATTAAATTGCTTAATCAAACAAACGGCTGTGTATTCCATTAATTATGTTCTTACTGTCGTGAGTTGAAATGAAGCTTGAGAAACGAAGAAAAAGTAGCTATACTGTTGACTGACGAACGGAAGTAGAGAAATGACACAAGCGGCTTATACTATAAATTATTTCTGATCAATTAACTAATCTATGTATTGTTTAGACAAAAAGTATCAACCTCTTTTACAAGTGGATTCCCCCGGAGAAGAGGGCTATATCAATGCTGTCACATTACCTGTAAGACTCTGTTTTTTCGCTTAGTTTTTAAATGTTTTTAATTGTATACAATCCTAATATATAAAAGCCCATTGTGTACTTCTCTCTCTCTCTCTCTCTCTGTTCGCAATATTTTTGAGGCTAAATAATCAGCATGTTAAGCGATATATCGAGTACTTAACGATACGGACTTTTGTTGAAAATAATATAGTGGATGTTATAAATGTACAAACTAATTTTTATTTAAAGAAAGAAAATAAAAATTTAACAATATACAATTGTAGAAACACATTATAAATTATGCAATCGGAAAAGTATTTATGGTTGTGACAAGATTGACTTGTACTTGATTATTGGGCTATCAATGATTTGTTCTTGATTATTGAGCTAACAATAATTTATACTTGATTATTTTGCTATTAATGATTTGTATCCCATATAAAACCAGAGCCTGTACACCCAGACCAAACAGTTTCTGACCCAGCTGCCCATGCCCACTACGGTCAATGATTTCTGGAGACTGGTCACACAGTATAACGTCTCCTTGATTGTTGCTTTTAAATCCTATGAAAAGGACAAGGTAGGTGTATGTGTGTGTGTATGTGTGTGTGTATGTGTGTGTGTGTGTGTATGTGTGTGTGTGTGTGTGTGCTGCAGTAAACGTAATTTTTTTAAAATCCTACGGTCCATGGAACAAGAGAATTAGAGTAGACCAGTTGAAGTATGAAGCGATAATGTGGTTATTACTATGCCAAACCGCCTTTAGATTCCTTAACATGAGACAGGTACCCATTAAAAGCTGAGTGGACTCAAACCAGGGATCCGAACTCGAGGCTCGAGTTATCAGTTAACAGCTCTACTATTTAACCGCTATCCTAATTGAGTGCTGTAGTGTAGTGTTTTATGCCAGGTTAAACATTAATAATAGAAGCTAATAATAGAAGCTAATAATAGAAGCAAATAATAGAAGCCAATAATAGAAGCTAAGCCAATAATAGAAGCTAGTAATAAAAGCTATAGAAGCTATTGATAGAAGTTAATAATAGAAGCAAATAATAGAAGCTAATATTAGAAACTAATAATAGAAGCTAATAATAGAAGCTAATTAATAGAAGCTAAAAATAGAAGCTAATAATAGAAGCTAATAATAGAACCTAATAATAGAAGCGTTCTGTGTCGAATTCGGCTTGTGACCAGGGGTAAGAGCTTGGTTCAGATGTTTAAAAATATATCGAGCTGTATATAGGTACCCGACTCAAGCCAACCAAACATAAAATATGGTGAAAGGCTTACAAGTAACTGAAGAAGCCGAGACGGAATGTTGACTTGATGAGGTGGACTGGAAAAATCTGATGTTGTCACTTCTGCAGCGAGTGGTTTCTTGACGGCCTAATATACAGTTTGTTATACCAAAATCTAAAGCACCCCAACCTTCAACGTGTAAATGTTGAAATAAAGTTAACAAAAAAAAAACATGTTTTTTTTTCTCCAGTCATTAGCTATCTACTTACCTGAAGAACAAGGCCAGCCGTTACAATGTGGGAACATAGCTGTCAATGTCGAGTCAGTAACAACAGCACCAACATGGACAGAAATTAAGCTTACCGTTAAGGTAATGTTGCACAATACACTGCTGACATCTTACACGTTGTTTGAGAACTATATAGTGTGCGCTTTTCATCATAGAAACGCGAAATATGCAATTAAGATGTTCCACATAAATAAATATATATATATATATATATATATATATATATATATATATATATATATATATATATATATATGTAACTATTAAAACATGCATATACATATATATTCATATACAGATATATATATATATATATATATATATATATATATATATATATATATATATATATATATATATATATATATATGCATAGAAGTTTGTTTATATAAAATATAAATGTTGGTGTATATTAAAATGTCTACATAGTGTTTATGTTTGTGTTTCGGGATTTTTAAGTTTACTAGTATTAAAATGCTGCTTTGAATTTTTCATTTTTCACCAATATTTTTTACAATGTAAGAAAGGACACTGTAGCTCGAACTTAATTTTTAAAAAAAAAAACATATTTTTTTTTCCTTTCTCTTAGGGGAAACAAACGCAAGAAGTGACTCATCTCACGTTTACAGAGCGTCATATCGAACCCAAAAATCTCCTGCCGTTTGTTCAATACGCGCGATCGTTGAGAACTCCGGATAAGTCAGTAGTTTACACGTGCAGGCAAGTGTGTTGGTTATGCGTTTTATTTATTTATAGCAACCATATGCGTAATTGTACATGCATGCATGTTTGAATTGTGTGTTGTCTTTGGTATTGAATATAAGCTTTAACTTACGCCAATCCACCACTAGCTAGACTAAATCTATAACATCAGATAGCATCGTGACCTTCAACCCCCCCGACATACACAGTTCCATTAAAGTCACCAACGCAGTATATAGACCGATAGATCTTTAACTGAGACGCCGTGGTGGTGTGGCAGAGCGATCGGTCCGGACATTCCTGACTCTATCCAGGCTTGATGGGTACATGACTGGTGTTTCCGGACATTCCTGACTCTATCCAGGCTTGATGGGTACATGACTGGTGTTTCCGGACATTCCTGACTCTATCCAGACTTGATGGGTACATGACTGGTGTTTCCGGACATTTCTGACTCTATCCAGGCTTGATGGGTACATGACTGGTGTTTCCGGACATTCCTGACTCTATCCAGGCTTGATGGGTACATGACTGGTGTTTCCGGACATTTCTGACTCTATCCAGGCTTGATGGGTACATGACTGGCGTTGGGGAAAGTAAAGGCGGATGGGGATAGTTTAGCCCCACATTCATATACCAGTGTAAAAAAAGTTATGAAATATACTCCCTTTTCCATATGGATCTTAGAACTTAAGCCTACTTAGTGTTGTATCTAGGATACGTGATACATGGTGTAGTCCCCCCCCCCCCCTCCATCCATCGCCATTCTTTTTACAACAACACCAACGTAAAAGTTTACATCTACGAGTCAAATAGAAATTAAGTAAAGTGCAAAACTTACTTAACCATACTATTTTTAACTACTGTAGATAATTAGATATTTGCAGATATAACTGGAGAACTGCAGTATTATTTATAGAAGACCATCTGAAGTAAACAAACTTAACTCAGACCTTTGAACTTTAACCTTATGTTTGTATTTTTAATTGTTTTTTTCCAAGAAACGGTGCTGAACTGAGTGGACTGGCCTATGTTGTGACAACTCTGATGGACAGACTGGACCAAGAGAACTATTTGACCGTTCCTGTTGTTGTTGGTAAAGTCAAATCCATCAGACCGCACGCCATTCCTACACTTGTAAGTCTAACCAATTATTTTCCTTATCTTACGTTGTCCAAGTACTTGTGTACATTTAATGTGTGCCAATCTACACTTTGCAAATGTTTTCGATTTCTTTTTTCTAATTTATGCAACACATACAAAAAAGCCTATGATATATATGTTCTTTGTTTACCTACAGCAACAGTATATTCTTGTGTACGAGACAATGAAACTCTACACTGAAGCAGTGATCTCTACAGAGAGGCATCGAGCAGAGTACAGCTCAACTGTCTGATGTGTGTATGCCCTGAGTATCAACATTGGAAGTCATAGACTCTACTGTTACATATTCTGCATCGCATGTTTGTTATCATGCGCTTTCATTGAGTTTTGTTTTAATTTTTTTTAAATGCGTTACAACACTAATTTCAATTTGAACTCTTCTTTACAAATATTATTCGTATTATAATTTTCATACTTAAATATTTTTTAAAAATATGTTACAGTTTTCAAAGTATTCTATTAAACATACATTTAAAAATTGGAAATGAATTTATTTTTCTTTACACAGTGTTTTACTATCTTATTTTTAACATTTAATTAAATGTTTAAACTGGAAATGTAAAAATTGCAACTTAATTTTAATTTGTAATGAATGCTGTGTTTGACATGGTTTAGTAGCGTATACAACGGTTATAAGTGCAGTTAATGTTAATCATTGTGGCCAACTTAGATCAACAGTACAATCATCGTATCCATCACTATTTTCATGTGCATGCCAGGTAAACTTTAGGATGTATTTAAATAATAAGACGTCTCCCATTTCATTATAAACAACCTATTGTTGTAGGCAACTACAAATAGTGTACATGGTGTTTTGTTAAGTTCTTACGTAACATTAGCTGAAACACAAATAAACATCACAAATCAAAATTAGAATACGGTATCTAATGAAACGGTATTACAGAAAAACAACTTTTGCTTTATAAAAAATGCAGTATTATTTTATAGTTTATCTTTCCTTGAGTAAAATGTTTTTATTTCTCTATTAACAATTGTGTCATGAGTTGTGTAATATTTTTTTCACGGCTTCATGTTGTACAGTAATTAGTTGTACGTATCACATGCTTCGTTAATGGAAGATAATTTTTTTCACACTTCTCTGTCATGGTCGGGGTGCCTATTTTGTAGATAAAAGGTCATTATTACTATGGTGAAATTAAAGTAACTTACGTCACCATAAGACCTTAAAATACATGCGAAAATCTCCGTATGAGAGAATCTGGATAAAGTTTGGTACTGTCCACACTGACAAAATAGGTCACAAGGGCATTAGAAAATGGCTGCCGCCGGTCATCAGGAGAAAAAAAGTATAATGTTGTTTGAAAAACGGAGGCAGTTGGTAAACCTAACAGGAGATCTTTACTGATTCATAAAGCCTGTGTCAAATTATATTGACCAAACACATGAAAAAGGTGAATGATACAAAGGAATCGACTCTAACTCTTTTAGTTGAACTGTAAAAGTGGTGATAAATAGACTGTCAACTCCCGCCTTTTGCCTTCACAAGACAACCCACCCGATAAACTAAAGGTTGTGTAGGCGGTGAGAACAAAACCCCCTTTACTCACAAGTTAGAAGTGATACATGCGGTACAGCCATGCACTAACAGAATGGAAGCATTGATGAGTAACGGCAAACAACAGAAAGCCACAGTCCAACTACCTACAAGAAAGTCTGACAAGGCGTATGTCTGTGTTCACTTTTGGAACCTGACGGTCCATAGGGAAAGTGAAGTAGAGTTAACGTGTTTCTGTGACCTCTGCATATGAGTGTGGTCAGCCGCATTTACTTTCCCTAACGTGAGTGAGATACTCATCAGAGCTTGCTGACCTGAACCCAGTTTGAACTCCAGACAATGGGGCAGGTGAAGTAGAGTTAACCTGTTTCTGTGACTCGGCATATGAAAGGGTAGTGTGGTCAGCACTATGCTCAGCCGCCCTACCTTTTCCTAATGTGAGTTATGAACCCATCAGAGCTCCAAACATTCTACATAGTCTATGTATCTACCGCTAGACCACGCCGTTGATGCTGTGTGGGCGAAAAAAGCAAAACAACTCACACGCTAAACTTTCAATTGGAATAACACAACATTTTTCAATTAAAACTTAAAAACTTTTTAGTATACAAAATTCTGTACACATTCAATATTTTAAATGATTTTATTTGTTAAATGTATTAGCAAGTATGGTTGTTAAACTAAACAAAGTTTAAAATATGAGACTATTATCACGGTTACACATTAAATATAATTATTAAGTAGACATGCGAAGATTCAGCTAAATCACTATTTCAGAGACAAAAAATACAAGGTTCAACATGATTTGTACTGTAGACCCTACAAAATAAAAGGCGTGATTAAAATACACCCAAGTTTGACCTTAGTTACTCATGTAGTGAAAAGGAGCAGACCAAAATAAATAAAATACGCTAAATTAACTAAAGTAAGTTGTAAGATAAATAAACGTATTTAGTGAATATTACAACGAAAATGCATTCAGATTTTTTATGTAGACATGTTCAATCTCATTAAAACGTAAAAAAATAAACCGGGAGTGATCTCCCCTAAACTTTCTCGAATATTCTAATATAACACTACGGGGGATGGCAACTCGGGATATAGACTTCTAGACATGATTTTTAATCCATTTTAAATACTCACATTTTTAAAAATAGAATATAATCTCGTAGAAAAAAGAAATGCACACCAAGTGAACGCTAAATAAAGATGTGCATAATAGTGCGCAATATTATTAGTACTTTATAAATTTACATGCGTTTTTTGAGAAATCGGAAATAGCGTAAATAAGTACTTCCGCTCAACGGAAATTACTCAAAATTTGACAGAAGGTAGAGAATTAGATCTTTTACTGACATATCAAATTACATTTATCTATCTGAAATAGAACTCAAGTTAAAGGCTTTTGAAAAATTCATAGTAGTAAAAGTACCACTTCCGGTTATCGGAAATCGCTCAAAAGTTGATACGGATCTACGATTTTGATAAAATACTTATATATGAAATTTCATCAACCTAGCTTTAACGGTACTCAAGTTATCGTGTTTACACACGGACACACACACAGACACACACACACACACACACACAGAGACATACGGACAAGATTGCAAATTTATGTTTTTCCGTATCTGTGAGATGTAAAACTTTGAGATTTGCAAAAATCTCGATTTTTTTTGCACGATTACAAGACTTTCTCTATACTACGTATATACGAGAAAGTAAAAAACAAAACAAAAAAAAACAGAATAAGATTTTGTGACCCTCCATTTGATCGAGTCCATCGTTTTCTCAGACACGGATTTGTTGTCAACACAACGACCAGCCGCTTTTGTTGGTAAGCTCTAGTCAGTTACCCGTCGGAAATGTCTGCATTCAGTGACATCCGCTGTCTCAGCCAGGTACAAGACACGTACTTTGTCTCAGCCAGGTACAAGACACAAGTACTCTGTCTCAGCCAGGTACAAGACACAAGTATTCTGTCTCAGCCAGGTACAAGACACGTACTCTGTCTCAGCAAGGTACAAGACACGTACTCTGTCTCAGCCAGGTACAAGACACAAGTACTCTGTCACAGCCAGGTACAAAACAAGTACTCTGTCTCAGCCTGGTACAAGACATAATTACTCTTTCTCAGCCAGGTACAAGACACAAGTAGAGTCTCAGTCAGGTACAAGACACAAGTAGAGTCTCAGTCAGGTAAAAGACACAAGTAGAGTCTCAGTCAGGTAAAAGACACAAGTACTCTGTCTCAGCCAGGCACAAGACACAAGTACTCTGTCTCAGCCAGGTACAAGACACAAGTAGAGTCTCAGTCAGGTACAAGACACAAGTAGAGTCTCAGTCAGGTAAAAGACACAAGTACTCTGTCTCAGCCAGGCACAAGACACAAGTACTCTGTCTCAGCCAGGTACAAGACACAAGTAGAGTCTCAGTCAGGTACAAGACACAAGTAGAGTCTCAGTCAGGTAAAAGACACAAGTAGAGTCTCAGTCAGGTAAAAGACACAAGTACTCTGTCTCAGCCAGGCACAAGACACAAGTACTCTGTCTCAGCCAGGTACAAGACAAGTACTCTGTCTCAGCCAGGTACAAGACACAAGTAGAGTCTCAGCCAGGTACAAGACACAAGTAGAGTATCAGCCAGGTACAAGACACAAGTACCCTGTCTCAGCCAGGTACAAGACACAAGTACTCTGTCTCAGCCAGGTACAAGACACAAGTAGAGCCTCAGCCAGGTACAAGACACAAGTACTCTGTCTCAGCCAGGTACAAGACACAAGTAGAGTCTCAGCCAGGTACAAGACACAAGTAGAGTATCAGCCAGGCACAAGACACAAGTACTCTGTCTCAGCCAGGTACAAGACACAAGTAGTGTCTCAGAGAGGTATAAGACAAGTACTCTGTCTCAGCCAGGTACAAGACACAAGTACTCTGTCTCAGCCAGGTACAAGACACATGTAGAGTCTCAGCCAGGTACAAGACACAAGTAGAGTCTCAGTCAGGTACAAGACACAAGTAGAGTCTCAGCCAGGTACAAGACACAAGTACTCTGTCTCAGCCAGGTACAAGACAAGTACACTGTCTCAGCCAGGTACAAGAGAAGTACATTTTTATAATTGTCAGGTTACTGTAAAGTTATTGTTATCGTCAAGTCAATGTCTTTTGTTGCCACATAAATGCAATAGGCCAGGTAATTCAATGTCATTATTGAGTTATTCAATGGAGCTATCTAAAAGGTAAAAAAAAAACCATTCCACAACGGTCCATGTACTTTACTAAGCGCTAATTGTTCATTGTTACTATGAAATCAAGAAGACTAGAGAGTAAAATGTAATGATTAAACATAATTTTTTACTATATATAAATCAAACGTGTAACACATGATGGAGAAGGTGTGACGGGTGGTTAGACATTATAGATTAAATGAAAATAAATTATTGTATTGTTTGTGTACTGAGCGTCTAACAATATTGTGTGTCTTCAACAGAAACAAGGGATGCTACCTAGTTTTACTGTAGAAATGTGTATTTTTCTTGTTATTTCCCTTTGATCAGCTGTCAGATACTCAACGCTTGTCCCTCTTTGTGGATAAAATCGGTCCATCGCTGTTCACGGTTTTAACGAGTTCATTCCTAATCGTACGGTTTAGGTGTTAGTTTGTCCTTCACCATCATTATTTTTTTTTAATTTGGCAATTTTATTCCTAAAGTTTCA